GAAAAAAGTTAAATCAAAAAAGCTGTTTGTTAGAATTCACTCGGCGAATACTTTTTTTCTGCATATAATAAATGCATTTTAATAATCTATATTATCTTGTATTTGTAGAAATCATTATTTATATATAAGTCTGACTTAAGATCAAGTCGTATTTTTTCGGGAAAGAACAGTTTCTATTATTTCTCTACACATTCTTTATTTGTATAAAAAGCTGACTTAAGAACTGATCATATGATTGTTCTCGGGTAAGAACTTCTAGAGCTCTTTTGGTTTAAAATCATTTAAAGATTTCACTTTAGAGCACATCTATAAGAATACTTTCCGGAAAGAACTGTATATATTTTGCACACGCTCTAAAGTTTCTTATATTTCTTTGCCTTTGATTTATTTTATATTTCGAATTGACTTAAGATATGTTTAAATGAATACCTGAGAGAAAGAGAAACCTTGAAGCTAGTACTTTACATAAAATTGACTCGCATAATATTTGTAGATGATGATGATCTAAACTCTTCTAAAGGAAAACAAAATTGAGCTTCGGAAAGAAACAGACTAACATGCTAATAAGCATAAATTCGAATTATATCTATGTAACTATATGCGACTTAAGTTTAGATCATGTGAATTTCTTTGGTCTATAAATATTAAGCATGTTTTAAGATCTCCTCTGTTAAATCTGGCGAAAAGTGAAAAGCTTAGAAAACTTTGAAGCTCAAACATGCATAGATAGATACGCAGATGTAAACGTAAATGAACTTAGCTCATCCGATGACAGGGTCACATACAAACATATATGGGCCGGCACACCTTTAGCTTTCATCCCAATAGCGCGCATCTCGCTCTCCCTCTCTGCTGCTCTCCCCCTCTGCCACCCTCCCACTCTCCCGCAAAGGCATTAAACATTTATGTGAGTGGGCAGTTGCCATAAACTTTGTTCAAATTTTCACATTCGAGCGGCCCACACTCATCAGCGGCAAACTACATCCGCGACTTGCACCCTTGGCCAACCCTCTGGACGGCATTTCAGTGTCAGATTTGCATAAGTGTGCAGCTTCCTCTCGCACCGCACCATCCCCTGCATTTATTTTGTTTTTTTCGTTTTCTCGCACCCAAACACGAACGAAAAACGAAAGAAGAAGAGAAGCTTGGCACAATCGCATTGCAATACGATGCGATCTGCTACGATACAATCTGATACGATACGATACGATACGATACGATACGATACGATACGATACGATACGGTTCTGGTTTCGGTTTCAGTTTTTTGTTTTTTTGTTTTTTTTTTTTTTTAGCTCGAGTGAAATTTGTTCAAGTTTATTGCAAACAATCGAATTTATTTTATTCGCTGCGTCGCTTAAATTTAATTTATATTTTGTTGTTGGTTGTCGTCTCTGCTGTTTTAATACCCTGTTCGCACAGACAAATGGGGTATATTGGTTGGTTCCTGCGAAAGACGCACAAAAACTACAGTTGACGAAACGCAGTTGAGAAGAGCCACAGTTTCAGAGTCACAGTCGAGAAGAGCCACAGTTGCAGAGTAACTAAATCGTTTTCTCTTTTTTGAGCAACAGTTTTAGATTCACTTCCAGCGTTTTAGAAGCATTGCCTAAGAACAAAATTTCAGAGAAGCTTAATCCTTTGACACAGTTTTAAACCATTTCTTAAGCGTACAGTTTTAGAGCCACAAATGAAATACTTTTGAATTCAGTTCTAGAGTCTTTAAGCCACTAATTAAGTTAGCATAAAACAGAAGTTTTAGATTCAATTCGAAAGAGACAGTTTTAGAGGCATAGCAAAAGAATCAAATAGCAAAAAAGCTCATTTGAAGTCGGTAAAAGTAGGGAAGGCTTTAGAGTAACTGCTTAAAAGTACAGTTTGAAAGTCACTTATGAAATAGGCACAAAGCAGAAGAACCAACATATTTTGCAGCTGCAATTCGACAGGCTACAGGGTATTGCCCTGTCGTGCAAACCGAACCGAACATTTTGTTTGCAGTGAAAATTGCAAAAAATTGTCTTTTTAAGGCATTCAGTTGATCTGCTAACTGCTACTGCTATAGCTGTAGTTGTTGTTGTTGTTGTTGTAGTTGTTGTTGTTGTAGTTGTTGTTGTTGCTACTGTGTGGGCTGTTAGGGAGAAAACAGTGCAGCTGAGGCGAATGGCAATGCGCCATGGGGTGGCCCACTGTCAATGCCAATGGCACAAAAATGGGGAAATGGGTTTTGGCTGTGGAAATGGCAATGGGAGCGGCTGCTTTTCAGTCGCCGTGGGTGGTCAATGTGTGTGTGTGTGTGTTTGTGTGTGTGTGTTGTGAAATTACCCCATAATAATCATTTGCTTAGATTTTTGTTATTGACACCATTTATTTTATTAATTTTAAACATTTTTTTATTGCTCTCATTGCAGGTAAGCATCGCATTGCGCCGCATGGCTTGTGTGTTTTATGTCGGTTTTGCGCTATCAGTTGGGTCCCAAACGTGACTAAGGACTGCATTTAGCCAAAGCTCGTTTAACCGTTGCGCATTTTGTAGAGTGTGTTTGCGTGTTTCTGGTAAGCTTGTTATCATTGCACATTGTTGTACTTAATGGTCGCGGCGAGGCGCAACTCGAAAGCGCACTCAAAAAAGCTTTTACAGCGAAGTCACTCAAACTGAACGCTGCTCGCAGCGCAGCTGACGTCGACTTTGCGTTGTGTTAGTCTGTCCGTGTGTGTGTGTGTGTGTGTGTGTGGGAAAATC